CTCCCAAACGGATCTGCCGGTCTATTTGGAGCACCAATGTTTGCCTAAGCAAATAGCTCGGAAAGCTCCACAAATAGCAGGAGGGCTGGTTAATTGGGAAGAAGGCAGAGAAGCGCAGAGCAAAACTCACGCAGGCAGCACCAGAGGCAGGGAAGAGCACGGCTGAGGGGACCTGGCCACCCCAAGGACGCGTTTGCCCTCGGTCCATTGTTGTCCCGGTCCCAGCACCGCTGTCAACAACATTTTCTGCATATGCAAATAGGACCGTACTCCCGCAATTACACGGCAATCAGAGGCAAATTACATTCTTGCTGTTTACTTTCAGTGTCCTTAATTAATCCGGTTATTAGACGATTAATGAAGCTTGTTGGGTGAAAAACTCATAGCATTTACAGCGTGTGCAGCCGGCTGGCATCTCCAGCACGTGGGGCTGGGGACAGCGCCTGTCCCCAAGGCCAGCAGGGCAGGGTGACACCGACATGGTCCCCACAGGGCTCAGGGGGTGCTCAGGGTTGGCTTTTCCAGCTGTGCCTCCTCTCAGCGCTCAGTCCTGCAGCTCCAGCCGAGCATCCCTTCCCATCTCCCTGTCTGGAGACACAGCCCCCGCATCCCTGCTCCTCTCCAAAGGCAGCAGGACCCACACCAGCGGCTCCCACCGCTCTGGAAGCTGCTGGAGAAGGTTCCCAGATGCCTGCGGCTGCTGGACCCTCCATCCCTGTCCTCAGCCGGCTCCCAAGGCACCCTGCCCTCCCCAAAGGTCACCGCAGCTCGTGTTTGGTTAAGCTGCCGATAATGAAGTGGCATGTTCATCTAATGATCGAATTGCCGCACCGCGAGCATGAAAGGCTGAGGAGAACTAATTAAGAAGCTCATTTGCATACTCCGGCGTTTCCGGTGCACGTATGGGGTTCCCATAGCAACCGGTACAAAAGCTGGTGATGGTGTGTGGATTTTAGGGGGGTTTGAAGTGCTGTTCCTTCCCTTTGTCATCACAAAGGCTCTGCAATGAAGGTGCGGGGACAGCGGGCTGGGGAGGGACATTTCTGCACACCAAGGGTGGGGGACAAACCAGCTGCGACAATGGCAGGGGGCTGAGCCCGCTCCCAGTGCCACCAGCTCAGGTATCCCAGAGGGGAGCAGGGATTTGGGGCTTGAGGAGAAATCCTGGGCCTGGAATTGCTCTATCCAAACTTTCCTGAGTCACTTTGGCCTCGGCCCGGTGAGGAGGGGAGGGAAGTTTTGCAGGGCACTGCAGCAAATCCCGCAGCATCCCAGAGCCCTGAGGGGACACTGGCTGCTCTGGGTGACACCCGCAGCACCCCAGGGACATGGCGACACTGCAGGATGGGACCCCAAATGGAGGAATGCAGGATGGCCAGGTGAGGGTGGCAGCTGCAGTGCCAGCGGGTTCCCCGCAGTGCGGCGCAGTCCAGCCCCGGCTCCTTCCATCATGTCACTTTTCCCAAGCACCGAGGTTTCTTTTCTGCTTTGTATTTCTGGCGAGAAACCTTTGCATTTAGATAAGGAATAAAGCCTGGAATCAGATCTGAACTCTGCGGCAGAGATCAACATTTTAATGAATTAAATATATTCCAAACTAAATGTAACCTCTTAGCGCTCGCATTTTCGAGTGAGGCTAACTTAAAGAAAAAGCCAACAATCCAACTCATTCCAGCTCTCCCCGGCTGTGAACTGGCCACAGGCCAATCAATTATCTCGAATTTATTCGTTATTCAACTTCCCTCCGACAGCCAATTTCCAGGCTGTGAATTGCAGGTGAGCGGCTCCTGCTCTCTCCTGCCAGCCCAGTTCGCTGGTTCCACTGGTTCCACTGGTTCCACTGGTTCCACTGGTTCCACTGGGCTGCCCAGGAGCATCGCCTGGCCCGGAACCACCAGCCAGGCAGGACACTGGGGCTGGCACATTCGGTGTCACACAGCCCCGCAGGGATGGAGGGACAGCGGCTGTTTGACATCCAGAGCCGCGTTGGGAGATGCAAATCGAGCCCGAGCATCCCCCGAGGGCTGCGCAGCGCTGCCAGGCCTGGGAAGAAGAGATGTTTAATTCCTGGCTGTTAATTGGTGGCTGCGCAGGGAGGGCAGAGCTGCCGCAGCTGGACGGAGCCCTGAGTGCTCCAGATGTTTGCTGCGCTGGGAAGGGCAAATTTGGGAACGGGGAGGGCAGGGATGAGACCTCAGCTGTGCTGCCCCAGGCTCAGGCAGCAGAGCTGAGCGCTTGGGGGGCAGGTGAGGGATGCCAGGGAGCAGAGCTGGTCCTTCCTGCAGCCCCACCATGCTCAGGGCTTGAGGAGCCCCAGAATTCTCAGTCCTTCACTTTAAACACCTCACCTGACTCAAACCAGGAGCTTCTCCTCTGTCCCCAGCCTACCCAGCATCCTGGAACGAGCCCCAAACCCATCAAGCTGGAGCCCCCGAGTTCTCAGCCCTTCAATTCAAACACCTCACCTCAATATTTCCCTCTCAAACCAGGACTTTTTCCTCTGTCCCCAGCCTACCCAGCATCCTGGAGCTCCAAACCCATCAAGCTGGAAGAAGTCCCCTTGCCCGTCCAAAGCTTTCTCCTCCCCTAACATTGTTTTCGTTCCCCCCCCCCATTTTTTATTCTCAATAAAAACATAATTACAGGCTTTTAAAAAAAGCAAATTATAGTGACATACTTTAATTATCTCCAAGCAATGGAGGACTAAATTACACAGTCAGGGAATCGGAGGTTACCTAAAAATAAAAGCAAGAAGCTTCATTAAATGCTAATTGCAGCTTTCACCGCTGAAGTGAGATTTCAACACAGACCACCATTGACTCACTGGGCCCTACAAGAGAACATTGGGGCTGGGGAGAAGCTCTCAGATACACAACTCGTGCCTCCATCCGTGGCTCCAGACACAGGGATTGCTCCAAAGGGAGCTCCAAAGGCTCCACAGCTGCTGGACCTTCCCCAAGGTGCTGTCACCTCCCTCCACTGTCCCCTCAGAGGCATTTCCCACCTTCCAGCAGCACTGAGGGGCTCATCACAGCTCTTCCAATGCTTTGGAGCAGAGAAACCAACTCCAGTTTGTTCCCAGAGCTGCTCCTGCACCATGGATGGAGCCACAGCAGCTCTGAGCTCGAGTCCCACTTTGCTCTGAGCACCACTCTGCTCTCCTGGGGTGAAAATAGGTGGAAATGGGTGAAAATGGGTCCTTGCGGCTCTCCTGTGAGAGAGGAGCTGAATGGATGGAGCCCTGTCCTGTCCAAACCATTCTCTGCTCTAACCCTGCTCTCCCCATCCCTTCCTCCAGGTTTCCTCCCCAAGGAAGATCAGGAGATCTCTCCAAACCCAGAGGGGCTGATTCTCCCCAAGACACAGGAAGGGAGGCACGAGGTGGCAGGCAGGCTGGAGAATTCACAAGGAAATTATCTTGTTTTTCCATTTCCCATCGAGCTGGCCTAATTATGCCACCGAAGTCTGTAATTTGCCTCTCACAGAAGAGAGTTAATGACTGGTTCCAGGCTGCTGCTGCTCCAGGCGGGGGCACAGCTCCCACTGCAGCCCCCAGCTGTGCCCTGGGACCCCGAAAATTCCTGTTTGTCCCTGGAGAAGGGAGCTCAGGAGGAGAGCTGGCCATTGGGAGCAGCAGCCAAGGACAACAGAAAGTTCCAGGAGGGAGGAAGACACGGGCAGGGCATGGAGGGGGCTGGCACCAGCCCAGGATTTTTCCTCACCGCTCCTCAAAGTCCCAGGAAAAAAGTGAAAAATCTGCAGGTCAAGCACTCAGGGAACTCAGGCAATTATCGTTGTTTAAATTCAACAGCCCTTCACAGGAATAAGAGGAAAATCACACAAGGGCTTTTAAAGCTCTGAGGGAGGTGAGGAGGAGGAGGAACGATGGCAACAATTTCCAGATACCTCATTTCAAAAAAAAATACCCACAGTACCCAAAACTAGGAATGTGATATCCAGGAATCAGTATCCACTCTGCTCTTCTCCCCAAAAATACGAAGCAAAGCAGAAAAGCAGAATGTGGATCCTCACAGGCCCCTCCTGCAGCATCCACGGCAGAGCCTGGCTGGATCCCCATCCACCTCCACGGTTCACAGGCTGCTCCCTTTGAATTAACTCCTCATCATCAAAGAGGTGCTTAGAATTAAACAGGATAAAACCAACCAGCTGTGCTGGGAGGTCACTGGAATGGCTTGGGAGGGACAGCACCTCAGGTTTGGGGTGACAAAAATGGGGCATTTCTGCAGGGTTTGGAGCACCCCCTCACAGGCACGGCGAGGCGAGGCAGGTGGAGGCTGGAATTCAGTCAGAACCAGCCTTTCCACTCATTATCAGGCAGAATTCAGGGTGAGAGCTGCTGGTGACACCCTGAGAGCAGAATCCTGAGGCAGGAGCTGCAGCAGAGCCATCAGCTCGGGTTTCCTCAGAGCCCTCTGAACCAGGCAGGGCCTCACATCCCGCCCGACAGTGATGGATGCGCTGGGAGCAGAGCAGTTTTTCCTCCTGAGAAGCTCTTTTGACAAGTATGATCTTATCAAAGTTCCCAGCTTTTCATTACGCTGCTTTATTCCTCCTTTTTTAACTCCTGCCTTCAAGGCAGGCTCTGTCCTCTGTGCATTTCCCTCTGGCACCAATTCCTGGCTGGGGCTCCCGTGGGGCTCAGGTGCCCCCCAAACAGCCCAGGGGGAGAGCAGGGCTGGGATTAAGACACAAACAGCTCTGGAAATGTGCAAAATACAGGGCTGACATCACACAGGCTCAGAGAGGGGGAAATAGCAGCATTTTGGGCTGAGGGAACAGGCACAAAGGGACAGGGAGCCATCCCAACACCCCATCCCAAGCCAGGTCCAGCTCCAGCATTTATTGGGCTTTTTATTGAAACAAAGCCTGTGCAGAAGCTTTGGGCTATAAATATTATTGGGCTTTTTATTGAAACAAAGCTTCCCACCAAAACCTCCCCTGGCACCTCCTGAAACCAAGTCACCAAGAGACAGCAAACGCCGAGTGCAAAACCAGGGTCTTTTATTAGAAATTCTCCTCGTATAAAAATGATCATGCTCTACACAGTCATCGAATAATTCATAAACATCCAGGCACTGAACTTTGTTTTTTTGTGTGTTTTTGTTTTTTGACTGGTCAGTACATAAAGCAGACATATTTCAATCCATATGGTCATCACATACATTAAGGAACCACCTATAGAAATCAGCACTTTGAACACAGTCTAGGTTTTATTTTATTTTATTTTGCTGTCTGTCTTTTTTTTTAATGTAAATTTTAAGTATTTTTATTTATTTTTCCTTTTTGCAACATATAGAATTTGGTAGGATATGGGGGGTAGAGAGTGAAGAGGGACGGAGGAAGACAGGAACAAAAGAAAATGGAGGATTAAAAAAAAAAATAAAAAGAGAAAACAGAAGGTTCTGCACAACCACAAACAATCTCACAAATTCCAGAAAAGGGAAAATGCTGGGGCTCTTATTTTTTTTTTTTCCTCTTTTTTGCCAAAATACAGGAAAAAACAAAACCCAAAGACTTGCTGAAGTCCGTGCCCTCTTGCCCGTGCTCCGTCCCCCCTCCGTGGGAGCCATGCATCGCCACCGTGGGCGCTGGAAGAGTTTTTGTGTTTCTTTATGGATTTTTTTGCTGCTGTTGATGGCGTTTTCCCCCAGGATTCTGCCCTGGGGTGTGTCCCCTGGCTGCCACCTGCCTGTCCTGTGGTGCTGTCCCTGCCAGGCTCAGCTCCCTCCTGTTTGCTGCTCCTGGAGCTAAATGGCGTGGTTGCTGTAGCTGACGTAGGTCTGCTTGGTGGCCAGTGCTGGAAGGAGACACAGAGCTCACGTGGGTCATCAGCAGAGCCACCTTCCCCTCCAGGCTCCTGTCCCAGCCCCTGATCCAGCCATCGTGCCAGCAGGGATGTGAGAGGGTTTGCTCAGGGATCTGGGCAGTGCTGGCACTTGGGGTCCTTCCCCGAGCCCCACAGCAGCTGTGGGTGCTCCTCAAGGACCCTTCACCCCAAAAACAGCCCCCAGGCTGTGCTGTGAGCAGCAGGGATGTGGTCTGAGGCTCCCGTGAACCTCCCTCAGCCACCTCCTACAGACAGACCCAGAGGTGCTGCAGCTCCCCAAAGCTCAGCCTGTCCCAGCCAGCCCTGCCTGGCACAAATCATGGGGTCCCAGAGGGTTTTGGGGTCCCACACCCCTGGTCCCCACTCCACAGCAGCAGCAGGCCACAAAATCCACCACCCTGGCTGTCCCCTCATGCACAGGGTGCCGCAGGGACACAACCCTGCTGCCACCCCAGCTTCCCCAGCCCTCAGATGCACCAGGAGAGGAGGCAGCGATGGCTCCAAAGCCACCACACATCCCAGGGTGGCACTGGGGGCACAGCAAAAGCCACAGAGCAATGAATTCCCCCAATCCCTGCAGAGCTGTGCCACTGCCCTCAGTGGGGACAATGCTCTGCTGATGTCCCCATGAGGTCCCCAGGTAGCACAGGGTCAGCAGGCACAGGGACACCCTCCAGCCAAGGGCACGGGCAGGTGCTGGCACAGATGGCACAGCCTGGGACACTCTGAGCAGCACTAAGGTGTCCCCACAGGGAGGGGACACCAGCAGCTCACAGTGCCTGGCTGGCAGTGGAACCTTGCTGCAGGTCTCCAACTGGTGTTCCCAGATAACAATTAGATAGAGCAGAAGGAATTGGAGCTGACAGAGCTATTTGTTAGCCGCGATGTTTTCCTAGCTGATCTGCCCGTATCAAAGCCCCGTGAATTATTTATTCTGTTGTTTATTTAAGGCTACGTGACCCGGCAGTGACAGAGTGAAAAATGTCCCCTTGGTGCCGCGCTGACGTCCCCTGCGCCTCACACCCCCAGCACAAGAAGAGAAAACGAGGAGGAATCAGCCCTTTCCACCCCAAAGCTGCCCCAGTGCCCTGTGCCAGGGAAGTGCCAAGCTCCCCTCTCCCACAGTTGGCAGCTCCCTGCAGTGCCCATTCCCTCCTGGGCACCACAGGAGCTGCCAGCCCTGCTCATTGCCAGCTCCCCCAGCCCTCTGGAGCCAGGGGTGTGCAGATGGAGCTCAGCTCTCCCCATTCCCATTCATGATCCTCCCCCTGTTCACTGGGAGCTACCCAAGCCCTCTGGAGCCAGGGGTGTGCAGATGGAGCTCAGCTCTCCCCATTCCCATGATCTCTCCCATTCCCCATTTATGATCTCTCCCATTCCCGTTTCCATTCCCCATTTATGATCTCTTCCATTCCCATTTATGATCTCTCCCATTCCCCATTTATGATCTCTCCCATTCCCGTTTCCATTCCCCATTTATGATCTCTCCCCATTCCCATTTATGATCTCCCCCCATTCCCATTTATGATCCCTGTGGAGCCACCTCACCTTGCGTCTCCAGGTTCTCGCAGAGCTCCGACTTGGCCTCTCCGTTGGGGCGGAACCCTCCCTTCTGGGAGAACTTGTTGGACATGGTGGCCGCTGTCACCACGGCCTTGAGGCTCCTCTTGCGCTTGGGGACGTTCTGCTCCGGGTGGAAGAGGATGATGTACACCTTGGGCATGTAGAGCATGCCCAGGGACACCGAGGCACTCAGACTCACCGAGATGGTCAGCGTCGTGGTCTGGATGTACATCTGCAAGACACAAGGCCACCAAGCTGAGAGCCCAAAGCCTCTGCGGGATGCAAAAGGGAAAGGAGGGAATGGTGAAACGAGGGAAAGTTGGGGTTAAATGAAAGGAGTGGGGAGGCAGTGCTGGAATGGTGTTCAAGGTGAGGTTTGATGCTCCAGCAGCCTCAGGGCGGGAGCTGCAAGGCACAGCAAGGACACCTGGTCCCAGGGCTCGCCCCACTGCCCTTCTCCCTCCAACAGGTAATTCCCATTCCCCAGCTGACTCCTGGGCTCTTGTCATGTCAGTCACATATTACACACCGACGCTGCCTTTTTGCAGTCAAAACTAATTTCACGCTCACTGTCCAGGACTAACAGTGACAGATGTTTTGCAAAATGAAAGCCCATTAATCTGACTGTAGAATAATCCATTTTTCTATGGAGAGCAGTTGGCAGGCTCCTCTCAAGCCGGGGCATCTGAAGCAGGTGGCAACTGGAAGCAGAGACCCCCTCCCTCTGCCCATCCCACCTCTTGGGGAGGCCAGGAGGACAGGTCCCTGCTCCGTGGGCATCCCTGCTCTGCCAGCATCTGGCTCCTTCCTCTCCTGCATCCCCTTCTCTACCAGGCTCTGGGGATGAGCAGGGAGGGGGCTCGGGGTCTCCAGATGCCTTTGCACACACCTGTGTGCAGGTCACCCTCAAGGCTTTGAAAGGAGCCTTAAAGCAGTTCCTGAACTTCAATATCCAGGGGTTCCCCAGGTGTTCCACAGCTGGGATTTCATGTCCTCTCAGGAGACAGCACCTGGAGGAGCCAGGGAAGCCTGGGGGCTGCAGCAGCAGCCAGAGCAGCGTCCCCATGTGCCCAGGGGCACACCTGAGGGTTTCTGAAGAGTAAAGGTGATGGAGAGCACACGCAAGGCAGAGGCTCTGCACAGCTCCCAAGAGTGAGAGCTGGTGGGACACAGCTGCTCCAGGACCCCCCCAGGACCCACTTGTGACCCTGTAATGCCAACCAGCACCTGGCCCAGAGCCCAGAGCGTTCAGACTCAGCCCTGGAGGGAAAATGCCACCGAGCTGGTTCTGAGTCAACTGAAAAACTTCGGTTTGTCCCCAGAATAAAACCTCCTGCTGTCACACGCGCCGGTTTGTTTGTTCCACCTTCTCTCTCTAGGCAGTTTTTGGAAATAAAAATGTCATTTCATCAAGCAAAGTCAAAACACATCTCTGTGCCAGAATATGTGCGCTTTTTTATTTCTTCCTTTTTTTTTTTAATCTACTCCAACTCTCCAGAGTCTGCCACGGGCATCCTGGATGAGCCAGGAATGAGGGAAGCACTGAGAGCCCAACTCCAGGCACCCCAAGCCCTGCCTGGGAACCAGCCCAGTGTGACCGTGGTGGGGCACAGCTCAGCTCAGCACCCTCACCTCCTCGGCCAACCCAGCCATTTCCATATTTTGTGTCTCTGCAGAGAGTCCCCCATCCCTGTGCCTTGGGGGCGTTTCAGCGAGGAGGGAGAGAGCAGCTGAGCCAAGCTGAGCTGAGCCAAGCTGAGCTGAGCTGACCTGAGCTGTGCTCAGACATCTCCATGTGTTCTCCCCCCTTGCTCCTGGACCAGTTCTCCCAGTGCTACCAGGGATCCCCTGTGCTGAGACCCCTCCGCCCCAGCTCCCCACCCCACTCTCTGCCTCCTGCACCACTTTTGGGGTCTCACAGGGCCACTGTGGCAACCTCTCCCCCATTATTCGTTTGCAGGAAGCGTTTTCTGCCCACTCCAGCCCCCGCAGCCGCGTCTCGCCAAGCAAACCCCTCACCAGCTCAGACAGGAATATTTTTAGCCTGGAGCCTCCACAGAGCCGTGCAGCTCTGCTCAGTTAACCTCTTGCCACTGCAAAAAAATGACCATTTCTCACAGTTTCACTTCCCACTCTCTTAATTGGCTTCCAGCCCAGGACCTCGCTTTGCCCCTCCGTTAACGACGCTGGAGCTTCCTCCAGAGCCCTGGGAGTGTGAGCTGTGCTCATTGAGCAAGTTCCAGCTCCTGCTGCCTCCAGGGCTGGATCAAAGAGCCCAGGCAGCCCTGGCTCAGGGCGATGACGCTGAGGGACAGCAGTAACCCAAAATGACCCCACAGCAGCCCCCAGATCTGTGCTGTGTTCAGCTTTGGGTGAGCTCATCCTGCCCAAGGCAGCAGCCCAGGCTTGTGCCTGTCCCACAGCAAATCCCTGCATTAATGGGAAGTTTTAAATGGGAATGTGCCTGTCCCACAGCAAATCCCTGCATTAATGGGAAGCTGCCCCCACTCTAAATCCACACCTGGCCCCACTCCAAGGGGTTTTGCACCACGGTGGGTGCTGGGGAAGGGCAAACCTGCTCAGCATTCTGAACACCACAGGACAGTCCCTCTCACTCCTTCCCTTCTCTCTTTTCCCTGGCTAAAAGCGAATGTGATAAACAGGGAAGCAGACAATGACTCCACTGTTCTGCTGCCACCTTATCAGTGCAGGAAATTGTCTCTTTCTTTAGATGCTCTGTTATTGCTATTCCTGTAATCCGCCGGGATCGGCGGGGATGAGAGGCTCTGCTCAGAAAAGGCTTGGGGGACTTGTTACAATAACGTGCCACCTCCATGCAAAGCTGTGGGCATGAGGTAAAGCAAATAAAAGTAAAAATTGGGATTGTAATCCAACTCCTCCACACCACGAGGAAGCCTTTGCTGCAGCCCTGCAGCTGAGGTCAGGGCAGAAGTGCCAGGGGTTCATGGGTGTGGGTTTGCCCTGTGGCATCCTCACGACCTCAGCCATGAGAGAACAGCCCAGATGACATTCCTGGATTTCCTGTTCCCAAGGGTGCAGAAGCCCCACAGAGCTCAGGAGGCCCTCAGTGCCAGCAGCAGTGGCGTGAAGGGGATGGGATCCCTCCCCACAGTGAGCTGGGGGTGCCCCTGGAGCATCCCAGAGCACCACGGGGGTGATGCCAACCCCCAGCTGCCACCCTCAAAGCCATACCCTCTGTGCAGGCTGTGTAACAGCTCCTTCTCCACCTTTTACTCCCCAAGAGTGCAAACCAACAACTAAAGCACTGAGGGAGCCCCAGACACCTGCTGCTCCCTCCAGCCTCATCTGAGCACATCCACCATCCCTCAGCTGTGGCGCAGGGACACTCAGAGCCCATTCCCACGGCCTGGGGACACTCAGAGCCCATTCCCACAGCCTGGGGACACTCAGAGCCCATTCCCACAGCCTGGGGACACTCAGAGCCCATTCCCACACTGGCAGAGCAGAACTCCAGCCTGGAATCCCCAAGCCCCTGGAGGGTTGGCTCAGCAGGCTCGAGGCAGGGCCGGGCTGTGAGACAGAGCTCCACGTCCGTCCGAGGGGAGTTGGGAACATCACTTTTTCCGCCTCTAATCAGCTTGTTAGCAGCCTAATAACAGAGCAGGCCTGAGCATTACAACCCCCAACGAGAGGCACAGCCTATTGTGGAGCTGCTGCCTGACAGGCAGCGTTCAGCAGCCCTAAATTATCCCGTGACAAGCTGCAGTGAAGAGGTGAGCAACCTTGCGCATAATCTACAATCATTATCATTTCCATCTTTATTACCCACAGTATGCCAAGCACATTAAGGAGGCTTTCAGGGAGCTTTTGTTTTGCAATAATTTCTTTAAAAACCTGCTTTCTTGTTAGTATCTCCCCTGCCATCTCATCAAAATGGAAATGCTGCAAAAGGCTCCATTTATTTCCTTTAATTCTCCTTCACACTTCCAGCCAGAGAAGGCCTGGTGGGACTTTCTGGTTGAGCCAAGGTCAGAGGTGGCTGGGCAAACTCAGCCTCCTGGAGGGATGGATGGTCTGAGAAGAGATGCTCCAGGGCACAACCAACTCAGCAAAAGCTCCCTCAGCAAACCTTTGCAACAGGTGTGTCCTAAAGCCATGGTGTCAGCAGCATGGGGACACACTGGGGGGATCCAGAGAGGAATCTGGGTGCTGGGACACCCCAGGGATTTCCAGGGAACAGCAGCTCCAAGGTTTGTTCATCAGAGCAGAGCTGGGCTGGCAGGCGGGAGCTGTTTGCGTTCGACAGAAACGCGATGATTCCTGTTTTGGCTGGCAGGCAAAGGGATTTGGGTCTCATTCATGAGATTTTTATTCTTTGTTCTTAATCCCTCGCACTTGAGCACGGAGCCTCATCCAGGCTGGCCTCGGTCCCATGGGAACTCAGCACTGGGAACAGGGGCCAGCTGGGCAGCACCGGGTCCCTTTCCATGCAGAAATTGTGCCCATGACACCCTGGACCTGCCCTGGGGGCTCATCCTCCCCCAGCCCACGAGGGGCAGTGGGGCCAACATGGAAAACTTCCCACCCTAATTCCCAAGCTGACCACTCTGCAGGGAAGCTCTCCTCTTGCTCAAGACACCACAGCCTCTCCCAGCCCTGCACACCAGACACCAGCCAGGCTCTCCCTTCCTCCCTTACCTTTTCCGCTGACTGCGACGTCCCAAAAAATATCGGGATGAAGGCTAACCACACAATGCAAGTCGTGTACATGGTGAACCCAATGGGCTTGGCTTCGTTAAAGGTCTCCGGGACCCCGCGGGTCTTAATGGCGTACACAGTGCAGGTGACCATGAGGAGCATGCTGTACCCAAGCAAACAGATGAGGGACAGGTCCGAAATGTCACATTTGAGGATGCCCCGGGCAAAGTGGGGGTTTGTAGTCCGCTGGTCCTCGTAGTCAATGACAGAGTGGGACGGGTCCACGATGAACCAGATGCAGACGCCGACGAGCTGCAGGGAGATGAGGCTGAAGGTGATGACCAGCTGCGAGGCGGGGCTGATGAAGCGCGGGGCGCTCACCGACTTCTTGCCCTGCTCGAAGATGCGGTAGATGCGGTTGGTCTTGGTGAGCAGCGCGGCGTAGCTGATGCTCATGCCCAGCCCCAGGAAGATGCGGCGCAGCGAGCAGGTGCTGAGGTCGGGCTCGGCGATCATCAGGAAGGTGGTGGCATAGCACAGGAAGATGCCCGTGAGCAGGACGTAGCTGAGCTCCCGCCCCGACGCCTTGACGATGGGCGTGTCGTTGTAGCGCACGAAGGTGATCACCACGAACAGCGTGGCGATGATGCCCACGATGGCGATGAACACGGGCACCACGGCCCAGGGCGAGCTCCACTCCAGCTTGATGATGGGGATGGGCGTGCAGCTGGTGTGGTTCTCGTTGGGCCGCTCGTTGAAGTGGCAGCGCTTGCAGTGGAACTCGTCCAGCTGGTACTGGTAGCCGTCGCAGCGCTCGCAGTGCCAGCAGCAGGGGATGCCCTTCACCAGCTTCTTCCTCTCTCCTGGCTTGCAGGGCAGGCTGCAGATGGAGCTGGGCTGCTGGCTCCCGCCCCCCGGCCACAGCATGTTCTCCACCTGTGGGGTAGATGGCACCAGCCATGCTGAGGGCACTGCAGGCACCTGCCGGGCACGCCTGGGCATGGGGGATGCCCTGTCCTGCTTGGATGTGGACTCTCAACCCATCAGCACATCCCAAAAAGGGTCCCAGCCCAGCCTGGCATGGGGTCAGGGAGGTGGTAAAGCCACCTCTGGATTGGCCTTTTGGGAAGATTCAACAACAGCAACTCAAAATGAAGCCCCTCTTTCCCTGAGGAAACCGCATCTGCTCTGGTCTGGCTCCTTTCCCACACCCAGAGTCCCTAGGGTGTGGTCACACGTGCTGAAGCACAGGTGTGTACCTGGGGGACACCTTCCCCTCTGCCCCCTCCACCTTTGGCTGCCTGGCTTTGCTCCCAGGGGCTCCCAGACTCTCCGTGGTGAGAAGAGAAACCTGCAGGACCTTCCCCCTGGGCCACGCCCTTACCTTGAGGTGCAGGTGGTCTGTCCACTGCCCGATGACTTTGTACTCAGGGGTGGAGTTCCTGATCTGGTACTGGTAGATGTCGTAACGCCCTGGAGCATCTCCGTTCTCATTGAATGTCACAGGAGTCCCAGCAATGCCTGTGGGAAAGGGGGGGCTCAGCACCCACAGCACCCACAGCACCCCCAGCACCCCCACCCTGCTCCCTGGGGTCCAGGGGGGCTCTGGATTGATGCTCCCCCCTCACTGCTTCTTCTAAGAAAGGCGTAAAAGCAGCTTTAAAAGCTAAATCAAGTGAATTCTGGAGATAAACGGTAATGAAAAGAAGGAAGAGAAGAATCAAGAGGGGAAAATAAATAAAAGAGACACTGTGGAGGAGATCAGAGGGTGGAGATAAATAGAAATAATAAGGGGACCAGACAGAAAATGTTTATTAAGGAGAAAGGGCAGAGGAAAAGATGTGATTCCAGAGGAGATCTGAGACAGACAAGGGCAGAGCAGCAGGAGGCAGTGGGACCTGTGCCAGCTGGGAGGGAGGAGCTGGCACGGGGAGAGGCTGGGCAGGACAGAGGGTGAGGGCGGGATGAGGGCAGGGTGAGGGCAGAATGGCAGGTGAGGGCAGGGCAGCAGGTGAGGGCAGGATTGCTGCTGGATTTACGCTCCAAAAGCTCTCAGGAGATGCGGAAGTTCAGACCTCCTCACCTGCTGATCTGCCACCCTCCCTCCACCCTGCACTCACAGGGCAGCAGCTGCCAGATAGGTACCACAAATAAACTGTGGCTGCTGCTGTGTGACCCACACTGGGGACAAGCAGAGACCCCAGGGCCGCTCCTGCCACCGCCCCAGGGCACAGCAGACCTGAGAAGTTGACATTGCGGATGTACTTGAGCAGCTCCACGCCGTCCACGGGGTCCATGCGGGAGCACAGCCCCACCTTGCCGGGGCACAGGTTCTTGTGCATGTTGTGCAGGGCGTGTCCCATGGCGTAGACGGCGTCGATGACGAACTGCACCTTCCCCTCCTGCTCATATGAGGAGTCCTGGCCGATCCTCTCCCGGTCTGCGGGGACAGGGGAAGGGGGTTCCATCTCCTGTGCCCCAGCCATGCCCCTCAGGATGTGTCTGCTGCACCCAAAGCCTTGCAAACGAGCCCACCCTGGAGTGGAGCAGCTGGAAATTCCAACCCCACTCCCAAACCTGCACACGCAGCCAAGGAACATTCCCTGGGGAGCACCCAGCCAACCTCCTCGTTGGGAGGTTCTGGAAATGTGGGTGCTGCACCCTGCTGTGCTTCCAAGAGTCCTGGGGGTGTCACGTCCCTGTGCCATGGGACATCTCAACTCCCAGATCCCCAACAGGATGCAGGCTGGGCTGTGACTCACATCCCACCCTCACCCCAGCATGTTTCATCCCTCCCTCATCTCCCGGGAGTTTCCAGCAGCTCAGGCTCCAGCAGTGGTGTCAAGGACTGCCCAGGGAGCATCCATCACTGCCTGCCTGTCCCCATCTCACTCCTGTCACCCCATTCCCCTCGTCACCCCCTGCCACCCCCCTGCCTTGCTGACCCCACAGCCTCCCTGGCTGGCAGGATCCTGCAGGGATCTGGCAATTACCAATGACAGCTGCCTTCCCCCCTGTCAGAACCGCCCCTAATGGGACCACAAACATGTTAATCACTTAGCAGAAGACACCGATTAACGCAGCACGCTGTTAATTACAGCTAAGAGAGCGTCTCCCAAGGGGCACCGCTATGGAGAGCTTTGGCCTCTGCCCCTCCATCCCTGCCCTGAGGCATGGCCAGGCATCCTGCCAGACCTCCAGTGGGAAGGAGGGTTTGTCAGGGAGCCGAGGGCACCACCTCCCTCCTCTGGAGAGGCGGCACATCCTAGAAAGCCGCGCCAGGGTGCCCAAAATTAACTCCAGCTCCACCACGCAGGGATGCGCCCAGATGCGAGGTGGGATTCACAGGGACTGCAGGGGACCAAGCACCGTGTGCTGACATTCCTTCCCTGCTGTGGGGGAGTGGGATGAGCTCCAGTGAGAGGGGATGGCCCTGTGAGCTGTGCTGGAGGTCCCTGTGCCGGGACCTGTGCCACTGACATGACACTAAAGCGAACTGATAAGGAACTGACCGACAGGAAAAGATGATATCGGGGAGGTGAATTCATAGCCCATCCTTCAAAGTTATAAAAACGCTTTTGGAATGTGGAGATTACTCATGCAAAGCCCGGCAGGTGATCCCTCCTTCCACATTATTGACAGGAGCCATTAATCTTCTCCCTCAACTTCAGGCCCTTCCCCATATTCATCTCCGAAGGCGCAGACAGGCCACTCTGTCTTGTCAAGATAATTACCCATTAAAAGAAGAGCTGTAATAGACTGTCCAGGGAGCTGAGCCCACGGGGATGTCACAGCCCTGCCACCATCCCCAGCACTGTGCTGCCCAGGGCACACACAGGACCTGGGGCTTGTCCTTACAGCTCCTCAGCTTCCCTCAGTCACCTCAATCCTGCACGCATCCCAAACTCCAACCACCGCAATAGCACAGGCTGTGGAGGCTGCATTTTCATCCCTGTGCCAAGGCTGAGCAGTGCAGATAAGGAGCCATCCCTGGGGCTGTCTCTCTGTCTGTCAGCACCTTGCCCCCGGCCCCAGCTGCTTTTTTCCAGACGGGAATTAGGCCGGTGCACACAGGGGCAATGTGGAGCAGACAGACAAGGCTTGTTCCCAACCTGGAGACAATAAATCTCTGCCAAGCTCCAATAGACGAGGGCCACGGAAGGGAGGTGACCTGCTGATTATAATAGCAGGGTCGTGCATCGTTCTGCAGGGCTGGTAATTAATTTTCAAGAGCGTGACGAGGCTCGGCGGCCCCCTCGGAGGAGGGACGCAGCTCTTGCCCAGCGGCGGATGAGACGGGATCAGAATCAATTCCCAGCACACCACTTTTTGGCAGGACTTAATCAAAATCACTCCCAGCACATCTGTGGGCAGCTGGGGATGGAGAATCTCCAAATTTTGTGGGTGCTGGTGGCAGCACCCAGCACCCCTTGCCGTGTTTTTGGGCTGGGTGAGCCCATCCAGGAGCAGGGATGGTCCCTCCATATGGGAGGCTTGTGGCAAACATCTGATGGGTGCTAGGGCTGGTCCCAGGGGTAATCATCAGGAATTCCATCAGCTCAGCCTTCCTCCCAGCCCTCCCATCCAGGAAAGGGAGCCAGGAGCTGTCTGGTTCAGAGTGGGATCCTTCGGTTTGGTTTTTGGGGTGGAGTAAACTAGCCAAGCTGGCATTTCTTGGTCATGTTTGGCTTTACCCAAACCTGAGGGAAACAGCCCCAAACTGGGCATTTGCATCAGCTCTGCAAGGCAGGAGCTCGTGGATCTGCAGGGGCAGGTGATTTGCTTCACCAGGCGTTAGCTCCCTGCTCTATCTGCCAAGCAATCACTCGGGAGATGGTTTATTTGCTGACAAATTCCGATGATTTACAGACAGCTCCTAGGACATTTGCCACATCGTAGTTTCAGCTGCTTCCACTGACACCATGGCCCTGAAATATCACCTGTTTAGAAGCTACATCACAGTGGGGATGAGGAGATCAGCGCTCACAGGACCTGCTCATGCATCTCCTGGGGCCGAGGGTTCTGTGATGCTCTGGAGAAGGATGAGGAGTGTGGGGGCCTGAATATATGTTGTATTGTAAGATCTGTGTGGTTCTGAGTTGCTCCAAACGAGCTGCAGCTGCAGGGTCCTTAGTTGGGCAGCAGCTGTAGCTC